TAATAAAAGCTTAATGAGCACCAGGGAAATAAAGAAAATCTTTCAAGAGGCAGCAGCTAGAGCTCTTCACACACCTCAGAGGGCTGAAAGCTGTGTTCCCCATCCTGGTTTCTGGGGATGCTGCCTTTTGGGGGTGATGCCCGGGGACCCTTAACCTGCCTGCGATCTCAGGATTAAAATGCAGCACAAGGGCTTCCCCTCAACATGTCACTTACACAATTTTATTTTTAATTTTAACTATAAAACATCTCTTCCTACCAGCATGTTCCCTTGGAGTGAAGGTTCTCTGCCAGTCTCCTGGGTTTTGATAAAAGTGATGGAGCTGGAGGTTCCTCCCTGAACTGAGCAGTCCATGTGAACTAGAGGGATCAATCCTGCCCAAAAAAATCTGCAAATAGGGGTTTATTTTTTTTTCCCCCTCTTTGAAACCAGCAAGCAAGTAACTATTCCTGGAGGTTCAGGGGGTCACAGCTGGCTTCTCTCAGCACCTTCATGTCCATGGGGGACATCCCTAAAGCGATTTGGTATTTAATTCACCCAAGCATCTTTTCCAGAGGTCCTTGCAAGCTGTGTGGCTTGTTTTTCCCCCGTGCCCTCAATTCTGTAGGTGTGAGTTGTGAATCATCTTTGCTTGGGGTGACAATGCGCCCAGGCTGTGCCCCAACACTGTGCAGCAAACAAGTCAAGGCCAAGCTGATTTTCTTATCTGGAGTCTCTGGTAGGGAGCAGAAATATAATCCAAGGGATGGCTTCTAAATAAGCTCACGTGGACCATGGGAGGTCTCCTGAGATGTGCTGGGAAGGCTGTTCATCGAGCTGGCAGGGTGGCTGCTCTCCAGAGCAAATAAAAACTTCTCTGGCTTCATTTGTGAATTTAAAGGCAATTTGGGAACCTGGACCTGGTGCTTTATATACTCATTTATGTCACTTCCCTGCGCGGAGGATGTCTGATCTAGTCCTTGATGGTCAACAGGGCATAAATTGGTAAGGAATAAGCCCCAAACTGAAAACAGGGCTGGTCTGAAAGGCAAGGCTGAGGCAGGGGGGGAATTTTGCAGGTTAGCTTTATTGTCAGGTGCAGACAGCAGAGCTGGTGTGACAGTGCCTGCTGTCTGCAAGGGTTGTGCTCACGGCGTGGAGAAAGCGGTTATTCCCAGGGCAGAGACAGAAAGGGCCGGGCTGGCAGAGCCTGGTGTGATCTTCCTGGAGGAAATGGTGTTCAACAGCCAAAATCAGCAGGTGGGACTCAATACAGGGTCGTGCAGGCGAGGGACAGTGCTGGTGCAGTGTCCATGCAGTGGCTGGTGATGCTGAGAGCAAGACAGAAGATGAGGTTTGCAGAGCCAGGAGCTGATGAGTGGGGACTGATAATTCAGCTAACGATGTTGCAGCAGCAGGGACAGTCCAGCCCTACGTGGTGTCCTTCAAACGGAACAAACTGGGGCTCTTTCCTTGGGAATTGGCCTCTTGGCATGGAAAAAAGCCTCTGTGCTTCCCAGAGACAGTGGTTTGGGCACTTCAGGAGGCATTTTGGTAAAATAAAAACATCGACCCCCGTTTCAGCAGACGCATGATGCAAACCTTTCTGCCAGCATAAGCGCAAGCCCGGCCGCAGGAGCTGTTTTCATGTGGTTCAGTGGTCAGTGGCACACATCTGGTGGCTGTAGGCTCCTTGAGTAACATCTCAGCATGGTCTTGGCAGAAACTGGCAATATTTTGGTATGAAAGTACAAAAACACATCAGTCACACAGAGAAAGGCTCCTCAGAACCTTTGGACAAAGGGAAAAGAGGCTTCTCACTCCAGATTCCTGCACTGGAAGCTGCAATCCTGAGATGTATCCACGTAATTATCAAGGCTCCACCACAGTGTTGCTGAATTCATGTGAACCACGTGTCCTTCCCCTGAGAAAAAAGCTGCACAGACGCGTGTCCAGGGAGACAAATCACTTTTCCTACATCGGAAGAAGTCCAGGGAATCCTTTATGGCATTGGAATGTTGCAGCTCACAGTGTGTTTATGCTCAGCAGCAATAATCCACCACTTGTTTGAAAATACTTCTGGGCAATTGTAGTAACAGACAAAACACAGGAGAGAAACTTGGATGGAGCTGGTCGGAAGCAGGGAGGGAGCAGGGCAGAGAGAAGCAGGAGGAAAGCTTCCCATCCTGGTGGGACAGCCCTTGGAAAGAGCACTCAGGCATGCAAAGCTTCCAGAAGGGAATTTGCCTGGCTTGAAAAAGGGAATTATGAGTGCATTATTCTCCCTGGGAGGTGTTGTTTCCAAGATTAATTAATAAACAATTACCAGAGTTTGACCCAGTGCAAACAGCCATTGCAAGGACATCAGATCATCTCGAGGCAGCTCTTGCCCATGAAGTTGGGTTCAAAGCAATCGTGGAGGTCAGGCTGGCTCTTGTGCATTGCAAAGGATTTATTTTTCCCCCCCCAAAAAATGTCTTTTGCAAATAAACTATTTTTTTTGGGAGAAGGGGTTGACTCTCTGCTGTTCACCTAGTGGTTTGGTTCATCACTTTGAGTCCTTTTACCCATTTTGAGGAATTTTCTCTCAGTCTCACTCCTCTTTTACTTCTAATTTAAGTAACATGCTTCTCCCAAAAGTCTTTGCTGAGTTCCCCAGCCCCAGCCCGCGGGGGATTTTGCAGCCTGGAGGATTTGTGTCTTTGTGCAGTTCTGCGAATGTTTGAGCCTCTGTGTGTGGCCTGAGTCAGCTGAAACTTTCCAAAACACTTTCCTTTTGTTCTTGTCCCTCTCTAGGTCTTCTGAGGTTGTTTTTGTTAAGTCTTTAGTTCCTCCCAAGCCATTCTGCTCGGCGGAAGCACCATCAGGCTGTTTCCACCTTCTTTTCAAGTCTGGCTTCCCCATAAATCACAGTCCTCTTGTGCTCTGGGCAGGGAGGCACTTGATACACCGCCTTTATTTTCCAAAATACATCTCTGGGCCTTTGCAAAACCCTGTAGAACAGCTCCCAGTAGTTTATTGCAACTGTGATGATACTGGTAAGGAAACAGTTTATGGTCTCCTTCTAAGATCCTACTTTTTAAGATCCTACTTCCTCGCAGTTGTAACAACATTGGAGAACAAACGGCGATCGCGTTCTGCTCCTACTAAGTTTAAGGATCTGCTGATCCAACTGCACGGGTAGAAAAAGAATTATTTTCCTGGTATAAACTTCACCAGTTCCTGTAACAGCTGAGACTGTGTTTGCAAAAGATCTGTGCCAGCATAAAGGGAGCTACACCCTGATTTCCATCAGCAAAAACTGGAGCTACGCTGAAGTTACCTTGTTAGGTAAGCTGAAGGAAGGTACGGCGCAAGGGATTTGTAACATCCTCCTTTGTGCTGTGAAGCAAAAGCTGAGGGACTGCCTTGCACGCTGAGGCTGTGGCTGAAGGGCAAAAGATGTATTTTTCTGTGAAAAGACAATAAGTAGGTAGCAAGGCAGCCTAGTATTCCTCCCCAACTTTCCAAATCACATTCATAGCTCTTGTCTGGAGCTTAACCAGTTCATCTTACACAAAATGCAGTGAGGTTTCAGTCTCACACCTGAACTCTCTGTATTGCAAGAAGCTTTAGAACCACAGTCATAAAAACCTGGTTTCTTGTTACCTGTTGGCTGCTGCTTTCAGGAATCACACTGATTTGAAAGGTCGTTTACTCAAGAAGGGTTTTCAGCATTGCCCAAGCTACTATATGCCGGTATTGGTAAGCGATGCTTGTGCATCCACCCCGAGGTGTATTACAGCTGCTTATTTGGAGAGAAAACTGTTAGGTTGGACTTTACAGTGCTTTTAAAACAAGGTGTGTTTTTCTCTTTTATGTGGTTAAAAGGCAAGCGAAATGTAATATTGCTGTACTACAGAACAAACCCCACACATCAGCCCCCCTCTCCTGTACCTTCAGAAGGCAAGACAGATTTGCTCGACTGTCAAAGCAGCCTACTGACATGTCCTCAAGTCCCTTGCAAGACTCTAACCCAACCTCCTCGAGGTGACTTGCTATCAGTACTCCTCTCCAGAACCAAATCCGACTGCCAGGAGTGACATAAGCACCCACGGAGGTGAGAAGAAAAACACTGTGCTGCCTTCACCCATTTGCTAATTGCCAAATCGTAAAGCGTGCTCAACGCTAACAAAAGGCATCAAATAGGCTGCCGAGTATTCAGCCTCTAAAATTATTATTATTTATGGGATGGGACTGCGTTAGGATTGCGGAAATTCAAGTTCAAACAGAGACAAGGAAGACAGGGAAAGCTTTATTAGATTCCAGCTTAACCACGTGTCAGCTGGGTTACAGGAGAGCAGAACTGGTGGTAAAGGTAAGTTACCAGCATGCACAACTGAGTGAAAAAGGGTAAGGCTGTATTCAAAGCAGGTCAGGGCATGCACACCAAAATGCAAGCTATCGAAAGGGCAAGTGGCTGGCTCGAGAAGTGGGCAGTGTCTATTTTTTCCATGCATTTTGCTGAAGCTGAAAATTTTACCAGAAAGAGAAAAATAAATTTGATGTGAGTAGAATCCCTCTGAGAAGTAACATCACCATCAGTACTACGCGACCGGAGGCAACAACATGCGCGCTTGCTTTGAATACAGCCTCAGTGAGAGTCAAGTCAGGAAAGACACCGTGATATGCAACATGCCTTGGAGAGAGGAAACACGAAGCGTCAGGGGAGATGACTGCGGCTGGGACAGCTGTCCTCACCCAGGTGAAGAAGGGGTGGAAGAAAATGCTGTCCTTGCACAGTCCACAAGTCTCTAAGGCTCATGTCCTACAAGGGGAAACCTGCTCTGTATGGAAAATCAGTAAAGACCATGTCAGTTTGCTTCCTTGCTCGCTACGAGCCTTTTGTTTCCTGTGTCTCCTTGTCCAGACTACGGGCTGGAAAGAGCAGCAGCTCTGAGCCCTGAGAACTCTGAAAGAAAAGATGAGAAAGAACTTGGCATTTAGGCTACTGCATGGTTAAAGTACTAGTCAAGCCCATCTTACCCATTTGTTCGATTTATTTAACTTCAAAGAGGTGCACACTAAAGCATTAAGATTTACTGGTTTGGATTCCTCTCTGTACAAGTTCTTTCAACCAGCTCGAATACACAAAGCTTTACAGATAGAAGCACTGAAATACAAGATAAAACAAATCTAAATTCCAAATCACTCCAAAGAAGAAAAATCGTAGAAAATAAAAAAAAAAAAACAAACAAAACCAACCAACAACCAACAAAAAAAAACTGCAGCACTCCTCAGGGAAGGGACAGACTGCACAAGGAGGAACACAAAGGGATGGAAGGCAAGCTAGTGTAGTCTCTGCCCAATGCTTCTCTGTGCTGGTGGCTCAGGGGATGGAGTTCAAAAGATCCTTGAGGAAGCTGTCGGGATCACTGATTTCTGATAAGAGTCCTTTAAACAAAAGAAGATAATACAGAATAATTAGATCCACAAAGCGGTTTCTCCTGCCCACATTAGGGATTTGTGCTCAGGCATGTGTAAGTGAATAACGACAGCTGCAGCGTTATTTTAAGTATGGACAAGATGAAGATAAACCCTTATTGGATGCACGTGCAGAAGGGACCAAAGTGTGTACATTAAATCCATATGGCACTTGCTCTTCTGCATCAGAGCTACTAGAGAGACCCTGCTAGCTGGCTGCCCAGCAGCTCCGTATGTTGGACAGTGAGAGATGGGTCTGGGGCACAACTAACTTGTGACAGAAGTAAGAGTGGTTTCATAGAATCCCAGACTGGTTTGGGTTGGAAGGGAACTTAAAGATCATCCAGTTCCAACCCCCCTGCCAGCAGCAGGGACACCTTCCACTAGACCAGGTTGCTCAAAGCCTCATCCAACCTGGTCTTCAACACTTCCAGGGAGGAGCAGCCACAGCTTCTGTGGCCAACCTGGGCCAGTGTCTGACCACCCTCACAGTACAGAATTTCTTTCTAATATCTCATCTAAACCTCCCCTCTTCCGGTTGAAATCCATTTTCCCTTGTTCTATCATTAACTGCCTTTATAAAAAGTCCCTTCCCAGCTTTCTTGTAGCCCCTTCAGGTATTGGAAAGCTGCTAGAAGATCTCCCCGGAGCCTTCTCTTCTCTGCAGGTGAATTTTCAGCATCTCCTGGTGATACCAGAATCCGTCTGGCAGGAACTCTGGCTGCACTGAACTGCTGCCTCTAGTACATGGTCACATCCGTTTATCAACCTTCAAACCACACAGACCCAAAAACATCCTTAAGGTGTGATGTATGAATGTTTAACAGAGCAGAGGGAGGATCCACAGCATCAAGTGAGAGAAATTTTCCTGTCTGGGGATGCTCAAGCGTGTCTCCCAGCTGTTTTTGAAATAGCTTGGGCAATAGCTGGAGCGCCGAGGGCTCCTCCTCGCTGCCTCGTACAAACAAGCTGCTGCAGTGGTGTCAGGAATGCTGCTGTCTCAAGCAAGCAGCAGTCACAAGTTGCATAAGACAGTCTATAAAAGGGAAAGCTCACACTTACCAGCCACATCCAAAAATTCAGAAAACGTTTCGACTGGCATGAACTCCTCCTGGAAGGTTTTCAGGGCCTTGTCTGCAGCTTCGTGTATTGGCATGTCATTGTGTCGTATGAATTCAGCAAGAGAGTAGGACCAGCCTCCCTCTGTGTTACTGGTAGGCACCTTCTGTGAGAGGGGAAAATGGGACCAAATCAGTCCAAAAAATAGCTGTTTAGAAGAATAACTGCAAACTCTGGTACTTTCTCCTGTTGCTCTTGGACTTGCATCCCCTGCCTCTTGTAAACAAGCCACATAAAAAAGTTTCCCCATACACATCTTTTAAATGTTTTTGTACAGAAAAGGTCGCAGGCATTTTCTCACCCTAATTACTTCACTCCCTTTGGAAGCTACAAGGTTCTTTCTGGTGGATGTTCCTACCTCCTTCCTTACCCAACTGTTTCCCTGGCTCAGCTCTCAATGTCCTCACTTGTGTGAAGCACGAATGGAAAAAATAAACAAGTACACAACGCAGGAGGAGTGTTGCAAACTGGGAAAGTCAATCCTTCAGATACCAAACTGGGTACAATAAGCACAGGCAGCATCTTGCAGCCTTTCTGCTCATACAGGGTGAAGTTTTATGTTTACAAGGATCTTGGAAAAAGGAGCTTCAAATTTTGCCCTCTATTTCAAGTATGTGTATGTGCTCAGCTTACACAGACAAACTTACAATGCTTTTACTTACCTTGAACATGTTGTAAATGAGATCTACTAGGGCCCAGAAGAGAAGGCCAGAGCGGTACGTTGCGTATTCCTTCACTGCCTTATCTGCCAGTCTAGGAAGATAATGAAATCAATCTTTGAGTTAATCACTTTACTATGCTTTGGTAACTGATTTGATGAATAGCACGAAAGCTGAAACAGCCAAACAGCCCATCAACGATACACATGGGAAATGGCTCTGGGTAAGCTTTGCTGTGTGCTCTTTACCTCGTGTCACCAAAGCAGTGAGCCAATAAAACCTTATTTCACAGGAAGGAAACAAGCAGAGATGGAAGTGGACTGCTAAGACTATGTAGGAAGTCAACAAGAAAGTCAAAAAAAACAAATGCACAGCCCCCATTTGTACACCACTGCTTGGAGTAGAGCAGATTACTGAAGAAATAACTAAATCCAGGTTTGAGACACAGTCTGTATCAGTGAGAGGGAACATGTTTCTGCTTCTAACTCACACAAGTGTTTCTGAAAGACTCCAAAGTAAATGTTTTGTCCTTGAAGAAATGGAGCAGTTTCCATTTAATATCTTCTTGGTTATTCTATCACCATGAAAGGACTTCTTTGGGAAATTCAGCATCTGGATGAAGAAATGCTATAAAAGGTGCAGAGCTGCCCTGGGATAACAGCTCCCAAAGTTTACAGGATTAATCATGAACAGGTTCTGGCAAGGCAGAACCTCCTGCCAGCAACTCTAATGGGTTTGGAATTCTCTTGCATGTGTTTCTCAGGTACATCTGCCTCCATCACATGCTGCTTCCTGCTCACCACTTAAAAGCTTGGGAAAAAAAAAAACCACTTTTTTTTATGCATCTAGAACTAGTTCAGCTGCCACTGATGGAAGTCAGCAAGACAAAAGGATATCATCTGACCACAGGCCCAACCTCAATCTGCCAAAAGGTGGTGTTTTTTGGGGGGGGAAATTAACATTTTGCTGCTCTTTAGCCTATTCTAAAAGGCTACATTTGTGTGTCTGCCCTTAAAACAGACAGCTTAGTAGGTGGCAGTCTGCTTGGGCAGCTAGGCTTAATTATTTAAAGGAAAACCAATTAGTAAAGGTGACTAAATTTCCACGGGAAGAACAGCAACTTAGAGCAAGGCTAATTCTAGACTCCCAAATACTGCAAGACAGAGTTTCTTTTTATGTGAATGGTTTTGATCTAATTGGAGTCTGCTCCTTTAATTGAAAACTAAAAGGCCCTTGTGGGTTAAGTCTGGTAGCTACCTTCTGGAACAGCTACTTCATATAAAAGCCGCCGCGTTTTCATTAATGTAAGCTGGTTCAGGCTCATCAGCTATGCATAGATTGCCAGCAGAAAGTTAGACATTAACACTTCAGGAGCCTTGCTTCTCTCATGAATATTTTAGAAAGGTCAGACTCAGAGGCAAAAGGAAAAAAAATCAAAAGGATATTTTCCTCCCAAACTCCAGATGAAAGCTATACTGAAAAGTGTCTGTAGGATTTTTCTATCCAGAATTCTTGGTTCAGTAATAATGAGCAGGTAATTGTTCACTTGATCCAGTTCTTTGGAATTTGTAAATTATATTTACAAAAGAAGAACAAGCCCAGAACTCCTATCCACCCTGGTAATTTCACCTCTGGGTTTAAATACAAAGTGTTTCTAAAACTCAGAAGGTGCTGAGAATCCCTCACTTTGGTCTTGCAGACAAACTGTGATAGCTGTAACTCCTGGCAGAGACAGGAGATGTTTTTTGGCTAGATTCTCCTCAAACCTGTCTTCCAGTGACTAATCCAGCTGAGCAGCTGGATAAAACACCTAACCACAAGACAGGGCACAGGCAGTATTTCTCGCCTTCATTTAAGTACGAGGGAATGTAAAGCATTGTGTGCATCTTCATTAATAAATTTACAAGTCCCTTTTAGGATCATCGGTTGATCCTCAGCTGCTTTGAGATGCCCTGTTGGTTCCTACAGCCACTTCTCCTGATCTCTCCCAGTAAAGGTGGCTGTGAGTCCTGCATCTCTCTGGCTTTCAGTCCACACCACCCCGATGCACTCGGAACGGCGGTGCTCCAGACAACACCCTTGTACTGCAAATAACGTGGAATGTTAATCTTTTGTGTGCAAACATATTACTGTGACACTAGAGAAGCTGGCTTCCTCTTTGCCTTAGCCTGTGAATTCAAGGTATTGGCACTTTTCTGCAGAGCATTTCACCATCCATCGCCCTCTTCCTGATTTTCCACAAGAATAAATAAGCCCAGTCCTTGGAAATAAGAACTGCCTTATTTCAGTTTCTGAGAGGTATTATCAGTGGAAGGCTTTGTGTTCTCTTAGTCTGCAGGGATTAAAGAAAGCCCTTGAATAAACCTTGACATAATTCCTGAGAACTACTTCTGAGTGTTTTCCCCTGAAATTCCAGAGATTGGATGGTTTAGCTGCAAGTTTCTTCCTACGTCCGTTTCAATATGCTTTTATTACACACGAGCTTAGAGATACGTTGGAAAAGAAACAGAATCATTTACTGAGGGTTTTATAAAACACCAAACATCCGCAGCAAACCAACACAGGGGCTTTGCTTTACCAGTCTCTTTCATGGGCCACGTGAAAGGCTGCACTCTCTTGTGTCTGAGAAAACAGACTCCCATGATAATATCTCCTATAACTGTCAAACCCCCTTTCCCAGAACTCAGGCAGGATGTGGAAACTGGAGACACGAACACGGAGCAGGCTGAGCCTGAACAGCAGAAACTAGCACAGAAATCAATACAGGAGCTCCTTTAAGGGCTCTTTCACTTCTGATGCCTCTAATAGCATTGATGCATGCTGTGTTGTGTGTTACTACGATGTAATGACTTTATCAAACGCATAATTAATGTCATCAGAATAAGAATGCCCTTTAAGGCGACTTAGAATAATAATAAATGTATTCCTAATTATGACAGCTATTTAAAATCATCTTTTCAGAAACTAGAATTCCCTTTCCTTCTCTGGAAACATGTGCTTTTGTCAGGCAGGCACAGCCACTTATTCTTGTACTTCAAGTGCTTGACAGCTGCTATTGATTTTTTTCTTTTTTAGAAGCAATGGCATTTGATTTCTATTTCTATTTTTCTATTTAAGGAAGGTGGTGCACTGATCAAAAGAGCACAGAAAGAGCTTCATTAGTAAGGCAAAGCACAGAGCACGCTACCAGCTCTGAAACAGCACCCAACAGAAGTTACTACAGTGTTTCACTTGAGGTGGGGGGAAAATAAGCATCTTTTTACCTACTTTTAGTTATACTCCCAGCAGAAGCATCATTCCCATTGATGAACTGATTGATCCACTCCAAAAACCACCCAGAATTGAATGCTCCTGCTCACACCTCTGCTATGCTGAGTATAAAGCTACTAGAAGGGTTAACACCTGCTGTTCTAAAATACAAACACTCCTTTCCTTTGCTCCCCATGAGCTGCTGGGTGGTTCTGACTGCTGTGACAGTAACATGAGCAAAGCTGGCAGCTGCAGAGCAGCAGTGGGGTCCTGGCTAACCTGCTGGCTCCCCCTGGTGACACCACTCGTGTGTGGGAGGTGACGAGGAGTCTCTTGAGGATCTCCACTCTCATGGCTTTCCACTTCTCAGGGGGTGAGATGTGCAGCGCCAGCACGGTGTAATAATGGGGCCCGTCCACCTCGTAGGCACTCTCCACCCACTTCTCTTTGGGGTGCTCCATGAAGCTCTGGAGGTTCTTCTCCTCCCTTGAAGTTGCTCGAGTTCTGAAACACAAGAAAAGCTTTAGCAGCTGTTCTGGCTTTTGCATGTTCATTTGTTACATCTCAGCAGCTTTTTCTAAAGGAAACACAGGAAAAAGCAGTGCTAGCTTTGTGCTCTCAACTTCTTCCCAAATTCATCCACTGGTTGAGTATTTGTTCCTAGTGAAAGCCACAAACCCAGCAAACTCCCTTTTCCTTGGAGCTGTGCATAGTACTAGGGAGGTTTGCAAGGCAACTGGCACTGTCCCAATAGAGGGCAATACTATTGTAGAGCTGTTTTTTACTTTTTTTGGAGAAAAAAAATAGGGTTAGGCCAGCCAGTCCAAGTGTTCAGGTTGTACTATCTCCCATCTGACACTACAACACGTGATTGCAGCTCCTACAGCCAGACCTTTGAATCAATTTATGTTATTCACCTACCACAAAAGCCATCACTGAGAAGATACAGGCCAATTTCAAGACCAAAAAGACAGTGTATTTACTGTAAGCTTTTACAAATAATTTTCTTCCTTTCTCCCAGCTCCAGTCTCTTCAGAAGTCCTGATACCTCAGAGCAGACCATGTAAACTCTGTGTTGCAGCAGACTCTGTGAAGCTGTATCACACTTTACCACGGTTTATTGCTCTACTTCATCAGGAAGAGGCTGCCAGCCAGGCAGATCCCTTGATTTTTTTAAGTTAGATATACTCTCCCTATCAGGAAGATATAAAGCAGCAGCCTAGCAGATAAAGCTGTGTCTGGTGTCAGTGTTGTGTGACCTTTTCATTTGCTACATGATGCAGCTGGTAGCCCAACTAGTAGCTCTTCATTTTCTCCATTTAATATAGACATGTCTTTAGAAAAAAATCATGTCTGGAAACTACATAATGCATTTTTATACAACAGCTGCACAGTGTGTTCTGGGCTCCCTGGTGCCAGTAAAGCAGACTAATGAGATGAAAAGAATAGTTTCATTTATTTGTCTCCCAAGGGACTCTGAAAACAATAGCACAGGGATCTAGAGATAGATATTAAAAACAATAGACAAATTGTATTAGAGCCAAAATGTTGAGTAGTTCCAAGTGGGAAAGTGAAAGAGGTTTCCTTGCACTCCGTTTGGAGTGACCTTTGTTGAAGACACGTATATTTTAACATTTTAACTCATCTAATTACTATTACTTTCTAGTATCTAACTACACAAATAAAAGGTGTATGTGCATTACATTTTCACAGGGGATACTGCATTATCAGAAGCAGCTCACACATTCCAAAGCATTTATGTACCTATAGATTTGTACACTTCAACACAGAGTCAAGCCAAAGCATGTCCTTATTTTATTATGCTTTGCATAAATAAGATCTTACTGAAACACTTCAGCAGAAATGTTCCTATGCTGCTGTTTATTGGCAAAAAATAGTAGTAATAATAATAATAATAATAATAATAAATTCTTTAAAATGTCAGGAAACGCTGATGGACCTGAACACTACAGAATTCCAGTATGTCCAAACTGGAAACAAAACTCATTGTGTTATATTAATATGAGATAAAATGATACCAGGGTTAAGTTTTCAACTACCAACAATTACTTCATCATAGTGTCTCGCTTCTGTCTGTTCCAGAGAAAATGAAGCTGGCAGTGTTTCTTTAATCTAATAACCCTATTGCTCACCCCAGAGGTAATAATTACATCTAAAGTGGAAAGAGAAACGAATTCCCAGTTGCTTTACTCAACAGGTCCACTGTTATCCTGCGTGTTCAGGCGGCAACGCTTTACTCCAAACAATGTAAACCTGTAACAGTCTGCTTCAAATCTGCAGTTTGGCTCCTCCTAAAACATTTTCCACTATTCTTGCCACATACACATACAAAGCCCAGACTGCAGCCCTCATAGACCTTTCTGAGACCAAGAGTGGATGGCAGAAGTTGTTGCTAAGAGAAAGGTACTGACGTGTTGAGGACGTAGAGCACCGTATGGATTATGTATGGAATGAGGTGTATGTTGCTCTCCCTTCCTCCTCCTCCAGTATCTACACTGAATGATTGCTCCATCGCAAAGCGGAGAAATAGCAGCTTAATGTCATGGACATTGAGCTGGTAGGTGGGTTCCCGCTGCCCCGTGCATTCCTGGAGGTACGTGTTGTGTCTGAAAAAGAGCAGTAATATTTTATTATTTATCATACTTTATTAGAAACAAATTCAAAATTTTAATACAGTTTCTTCTTCCATACCATAGCTCAGAATCTGAGCAAGTATCTCATAGAAAAGCTTTAAAGAATGAACAGGATTCAAAAATGCAAGCGCAGCCACCTTCGATTAACCTCCCCAAAGGGAGGCTCTCAGCTTACTCTGGCAAATCCAATTCCATCTGCATACATACATACACTCATCGATACTATTTTCCCATGTCCAGGGCTTAGGATGCAGCTCCCTGGCTGAAATGCATTACAGATGTCAGCCACTCCTGATTTCTAACATGACTCTACAAACCCAGCAGAAGGTGGACCAGAATATTGACAACAGGGTGAAGCATCTCCATCTGCTCTAGGTAAGTGGTCAGGCTACTGTAACTCACTGCCATCCAACAGAGGTTTGGGAATCTACACTGGAGTGACTGAGGGCGAAGGAGATAATAAATTTATTTATTTATATGAAGCCAAGAAGCAAACAGACACCTGCACTTTTTTTAGGAGATGTACTCTTGATGGTAGAATCTGAAACAGCTCAGGTTGACTAAGATTTAGCTGCCATCACCTTTGATTCCATGGTTTGATACTCGCATGCCTCTGTGGTAACGTACTGACTCACCTACTCAAATGCAAAACATCTCCAGAAGTAACTTCTACTACTCACCGTGCTAAGCAAGTAGCAAAAGCAGATTCTGGCACATGAGGTCCCCAGACTGGCAGGAGCCCATTACACTTGGTGTTGGCATTTTGTAGGGCTGCACTCTCCCATTCTTCACGGCCGCGAGCAAGTCTGCATTGAGAAAGCAAACCACACCCAGGCAAGTTAGAAGTACACAAGTTTTTTGTCTAAGAAACCATCAAAATATTGACTATCCCACAGATTCTTTAAACTATAGACTTCACTTTTTGGTGTCCTGGCCTGACTTCTATTTGGTACGTTAAAGCAGATGACTCCAGAGAAGCCCATGATTGTCTCCAGGCTGCAAAGTGACCAACTCAGAAGCAAACCCATCCAAAGCCAAGTGCCATGCTCACAAACCACTGTGGAAAGTAACATCAATCACCACCATCCAGCTTGTGATCAGAACGTACCTTACAGCTGCTAGGTGACAATCGTAGTGGACAATGTTGAAGTGAGAGACTGTGCTGTACCCCTGTTGTTTTCGGGGCTTGTTCTCAAACTCCTCTAGTGCAACTCGTTTGGTGAAAGTGTAAATACCCAGGACTTTTGTAGGCTGCAATGACACGACAGCTACGTTAGAGATCAGGCACTTCTGCAACAGTTCACACTTGGTACTATTTTGACACTGCACTGAATTTCATCTCTCCCAGACTCTACCTCAAACTTACACTGAGCAAATCTTTTTCCAGCTTTCACTGAAAACATCCACTTTTCACTGGAAAGACACTTCCACTTCCCAACCACCTCTGGAATTACTGATCCTAAGAACCAAACCTGAGATTTCCCGATCTCCCAGAGCCAAGGCACCAACCCTGGTAGACCCTGATAAAACAGCCTGATGAAGAACAAAACCCTGCCTCGTTCCCTAATATCTCAAGAAATGGCTGTAACAACTCCTCTAGCTGACAAATGACTTCTTCCACTGACTATTAAATACTTTCATAGTCAAAAAGATCTGTTCCTTCTAGCCCAAAGGACGTCAGCTTCCTATACACCAACAGTTTCAAAAGATTACCAAGAACTTCTCATTCTCATTGTAGTTCAGATATTGCTTTTACTCTCAATTAGCTGGAAAATCAATCATGTTTTCAACATGTATGAAAACACTCAAAAAACCAAGGCAGAGCTGTGTCTTTTCTTGTCTTTCTCTGGCCTATGGTGGTCGGATACTGTCAAGTCCCCTCAGCTGGTGAGAGGGCTTTGCAAATGTATCTCACTTTACCTGAAACTTGTATCCTTCTCGGCAGATGCAGCAAGTCAGACCTGGTTCTTCTATAAGCTCCTCCATCTGTTTAAGCAGCGCAGTTTTGGTCACTACCTGACCCTTCTCATTCGTCTGAAAGAGAGAACAGCTCAAGCAGGTTAAAAAGACAACGATGAACACCACCATCCCCACCACTGTCCCAGGAAT